ACTGAACATATAAATGCAACAATTGCTCCCATTTTTCATGAGATGAACTCAAAGATCTAAAACATTTTCTATATACACAAAATAACCATTTCTCTCAAATATTGTTTACAAATCTGAAAAAATCTGTGATTGTGAGCACTTCTCCTTTGCCGAGATAATCCATCCCACCTCACAGGTGTGGCATATCAAGATGCTGATTAGACAGCATGATTATTGCACAGGTGTGCCTTAGGCTGACCACAATAAAAGGCCACTCTGAAACGTGCAGTTTTGCTTTATTAGGGGGGTCTTGGGGGGTCCGAAAACCCTAGGGTTAAACCCTAACCCTAACATTGAGCATGTTTGGGATGCTCTGGATCGGCGTATACGACAGCGTGTTCCAGTTCCTCCCAATATCCAGCAACTTCGCACAGCCATTGAAGAGGAGTGGACCAACATTCCACAGGCCACAATCAACAACCTGATCAACTCTATGCAAAGGAGATGGGTGACATGTTAGGGTTAGGGTTTAACCCTAGGGTTTTCGGACCCGCCCAGACCCCCCCAATAAAGCTAAACTGCACGTTTCAGAGTGGCCTTTTATTGTGGCCAGCCTAAGGCACACCTGTGCAATAATCATGCTGTCTAAACAGCATCTTGATATGCCACACCTGTGAGGTGGGATGGATTATCTCGGCAAAGGAGAAGTGCTCACTATCACAGATTTTTTCTGATTTGTGAACAATATTTGAGAGAAATGGTTATTTTGTGTATATAGAAAATGTTTTAGATCTTTGAGTTCATCTCATGAAAAATGGGAGCAAAAACAAAAGTGTTGCATTTATATTTTTGTTCAGTGTATGTCCCATTCATTACTTCATGGACTCATTGTGATAGATATGCTTCATATTCTGCCTGTCTAGTGGTAGCCCCATCAAGTTTATTAAAATTGTCGACTTTTGCGAAATCCCGCCCATCTACTTCCGACCCATGGGACCGGACCTTATTTCGGATAAATTATGTATTGAAGTCAATGGAGAGAGAAACCGTATCTTTTGATCCCGTTGGAATTGTGCAACGAATTACACATATGATGTTTGTCAATCTTAAAAAAGAATTTCCATGTCAAAAAAGTCACAGTTTGTCGTAAAACTGTTGAAATATAAGACTTTGAAAAATACGCAACGAGAAAGACTACAAATCCCAGAATCCCGGTCCTGCATGCTGGCTCTTACGGAACTCATTTGTCCAGACTTGTAGTGATTTTCACCTCTTTTAATAGTGAAAGTGAAATGTGCCAACGTGACGGCCGTCTTGGTGTGTGGTGCGAGACGGGAGATGTAGTTCATTGAGCGGTTTCACACAAAAACATTTGTTACCATGAGGATGCCGATGATAGCATGCACTCTCATTGGATTCAAATTAAAAAAGGCTCTCAGAAACAGGCTAGGGAACACAGGAGCTAATCTATTCTTCTGTTATAAGTGCTATAGGCCAGGGTCACAGTATAGGGCCACAGTTCCCAGGCCAACAATAGTTTTTAACTACGGAATGCTTGTAAGATGCTGGAAGTCTTCAAGTTTGGAACATAACAAGTCTTTGACAGTGTAAACTTATAGTTGAGTCATTTTGCAACTGTGTTTTAGTATTTAAAAGCAGTGTTACAGCATCAAACCTACTTTTGAATCAGCAAGTCGTGGGAGATCAGTTGAGATGTAATTTGGATGGAAATAGCCTGTGGTGATGCTGTCATTTATTTTGAATAAACTCTCTTTCAAGCTCTACCTGTGATTACATTGGGTCCTACAGACAAAATATTATACTTAACATGAACACCTTCACCATCTATGCCTTTGCAAATGTGTCTTTATGCAGTGTAGAGACAAGCCCCTTGAACAAATTCTGTCAAAACCTTCATTTTGTAGCCTCCATAATACCACACTAGCAAAAAGGCCCGGAAAAATGATGATAGGAGATTTCAGTGGAATTTGTACTTTGGCAGATTTGAAAGGATTACGATCCCAGACAACCTCAGGAAATACTCCAGACTTGTAATATATTTCATATCCCTTAAATCCATGCCAAGTATCTTTGTCTGTTATATATCACTTCAAAACAGGTTTATGCATTTCCTTCACTTTTCCTGGTAATTTATCTTCACCTCCAGGAAATGTACGTTTTCCAATTCAATTCCAAATATTTCAAGACTGAATCTTAAACAGACAACACAGAAACAATCAGTATGATCGCTTTCTCGTAGAGAAATCTTGACGTGTACCTGAGATGTTGATAAGGGTGGTGTCCATTTTGCCGCCTTTAGCAGGAATGAAGCTTTCGATGAAGGTGGGGCCTCCGGTACGCCTGATCCTTGATAAGCTGACCTTCACAAACTCCAGGTTGATACTCAGAGAGTCTTTTCTTCCCGTTACTGAAGACGGCTCCTCATCTACTGTACCTTAAGGGAAAGGGAAATAATCATGAAGATAACTCGTCTAATTACCAACTCTAAACTTATTGTTTCTACAATTATTTGGCTTTTTTGCCTTTATTAATTATATAGTTGTATAGCCAGGTATCTGCGTTAAGGACACACGATAGCACCAGATCGAGCACAACCTTAGTTGCCATACGGTGACACTATGAATGTTTCTTACTAAGTGAAATGAACCAGAAGTAGCTAAACGGCAGCTATAATAAGAGCTGTTAGAATTCTCAAGATAATAGGAAAGGAGCTTTAATACTTCAAACCCACATTTTCTTGCATCTGCAACATTTATCGGACACACCATTCGGCCGTCCGTCTTGTCCCGTAACTTGCTCATAAGTTTAGAACTTTCAACAATATGCTAAACAAACAGGTGACCTATAAATGTTACGCCAATTACTGTAAGATGACCAAATGGAGTCAACATTTCACAGTGTTTTCGTGTTTGATAAGCAATTTAGTTATTTTAGGATATTACCAAGATATTTTCGCTGTTGTCAACTTTTATTAACCCCGCCTTAAACAGCACAATAAGAACGCACAGTGTGAAGTATTTAGAACCCCGGTTGCATCTTTCCCCAACCCTATGACATTTTTCACAGAGGTTAAGGAGAAGACATAGGAGCTGATTTCTTTTTTGATAGCCTTGATCTTGCAGGTTAGTACATCATATCCACATTGAAAGAGGAAACTGCAGCACTGTGTTATTAGCACATTAGAATGTTACAACATGTTTCACCCCTCTCTCCTTCCATACCTAATGGCCCTGGGCCCGGAGGCAGCCCTGTGACTGCAGATTTCTGCTTTCCGGCGCCGTAGGGGTGGAACACGTAGAGGGAGAAGTCAGACATGCAGGCAGTGAAGCTGAGGCCTGAGGAGTTACTGGGGGGGGCGGTGAGGTCCGACTGGCTGCTGCTGTGGCGGCTCCTGCCCAGAGGGCTCCCCAGCAACGGGGAAGCTGGATGGAAGAAGACAACGTTAGACATGTAGTCACACTCACAAGGCATTCATTGAATTAATAATAACAAACATTATCACATTTCATGTCATTAGTTGCTTTTATCTACATCATCTTACATGAACATTCATAGCATTTTCTTCAATGCTTCACTATGGGATGCACCTTCCTGCATATTTTTCTGAGGAATCATCTCACTCATGCTACTCTTAGAACCGGGATTATGCAAGTAACCTAAGGTTACTAGTGTTGGAACAATTAATCAAATGTTATACTTGTAAAAGTAGCAAAACTAAAAGTGTAAAATACTCTGTTAAAAGTCAAAGTTCTTCATTCAAATCTTATAGTACATCATTATTGGCATCACACGCTTACAATATACTTAAGTACTTCAAATTCTGAAGAAAATAAATCATAACCACAAGAGAGCCAACTGAGATCTCTGAGAGTGTGACGTTAACCTATATATGACAGCCATGTGTCATCTGTATTTCACATTAATGATACATTTTGATAAAGGATATGAGGAAGACAAACAGAGTAGAAATCCAAAAGTGCTAAAAGTGAATACATCACATGAAATTAATGTCATTTTATTTTGGCTTTAGAACTAAACTTGCAACAAGACAGACTGGAGAGCAAAGTAATGAAAGGATGTGAACAAGCTGTGAGCAACATTAAGTCACACAGGGCCCAGACATGGCATGGG